TGTAATCATCGACTAATCTGTCTCGTAGGATCGCGATCTACTCGGAGCAGGGAATCAATCGAACCTGCTGGCCTCTTATCAGACTCTTCGAGCGGACCCCGCATGAGAGAAGGGACAGAACGATTCTATCTCACAGCCAGGTTTATCTTCTGCGTACATACCGTGCCTTTTTTTCCACATGCTGTCCCAATCCCGGTTCCTTTGCTATGAATTAGTGCATTGCGTTCATTTTCTATCTAAGAATTCATTAAATTATAAATATGCACGCGGATCAAGGTAGACAACGGGCGTATAATTACGTCAAGATTTAGATGAGTATCATTTCCGAATGAATAATGTAACTTTGTTAAAAATGATTACATCATCGTTATCATGCAACGCACTTATATAATCTGCGTGTATCTCTTAAATTGTTTAACGATTTCCTTTTCTTCCTATCTCGACGCATAACTCTGCCAATGACAATCGCGGAGGGAGGATATCTTTTACGACATCGCATTCGCTGCTCGAAGCCGTTGAAGTTTCGCGTTAAATATCCTCCGTGGGTTTATATTTAAACGAGATATTAGGTGCACCGTTTCCAGTGAACCATCCGGTACATCCCTATTAAATATAATATCAAACGAAATTAAGCAGCACTCTCCCGCCGCGGGGTTACCGACCGACTTCCCTTAAGTCGGCCGGCACCCTCTGCGCGATGCAGCAAGGGTTCCGCACGATAAATCCTCGCCGAGTAAGGAAGCCAAATAACTTAAACGCGATTTCGCGCGAGTGTAGGAGCGTTTGGAACGAACGAGCCGGGACGAGAAAGAAGAGATGGGGGAGGGAGGGGTGAGCAAAAGGGGGAGGAGAAGAAGGAAAAGGTGAAGGAGGTGGAGACGCCGAAAAGTAATGTGAGAAATACGACGAGGGCCGAGGCGCGGGTCAAGAGGTACAGCCGAGACGTAGGCGGGGGGGGCGGGGAGGGACCGGGAAGATATTTGGAACGCTCAATTCGAGGTACAGGAAGCGAGATATCGCCGCCCGGCGAAATAACCGAAGAATCTTATGCTCATTTCGAGCGAGAGCCGCCCGAAGCCGCCAGCAATTCCGTATCGGACTCGAGATCGCATTGTCACCACCACCGTCCCTCTCCTCCTCCCCCTCTCCCTCCGCCTCCTCGGCTCCCTCCTCCTCCACCCCCGGCTCGCTCCGTCGTCCGCCCTCCGCGCTCTCGAGAGTGCACAGCATCTCTGACACTCGCACGACACTAAATCCAGCACAATGGCGCGGGTGTAACGCTATATAGCGTGTTCCGCGGGTCGATGCCGCTTTACCTCGCCCGTTCGCTTCGAATACCTGGGAAACTTGTATAGGACGGCGCAGAGCTAACGCCCATCTTCCAAACTTTCGAATGCGCGAATGTAACGTAAATAAATTGGGAGCACATTTAAGAGATGGGACGAAAAATGTTTATACAAAATTAGATATCGACGGCGATGGCGAAGAAACGGAAGAATAGCTCAACGTTGAAGCGTTCAATTATAGGAAGCGTGTAAATAAACGGCAAAGTCTAATCTCCTCAGATGCATCGAAATACTAATATCTGCTGATAATGTTACTGAGAACAAAAGGACAGCCGTATATGCGTACACATCCAAAGATCAGACACTGACATTGACTCTGAACCGTCCTGTATAAATGTCCATTCAAGTGTACTCGCCTCTACGAGGCAAACTTGCATTCAATACCGCGATGACATCTTTAGCGGTGTCCATGGATCCATAAAGACTTCCAATCAAACAAGATTTGTTCGGCGGATAAGCACCACACACAGGAAATTGCTATCCGAATTGCGTGCTGTGGTGCATACAATACACGTGTACTACAAATGAAAAAAAAAACGATAGCTATTTTCAGAACTTTGATCCTCGTTATTGCGACGTGATAAGCTCGTACGATTACACTGCAGTTTGTATTCACGGATTACTCGAAGACCGACGTGTAAGTCGTAATAAAAAAATTCTTATGTTCAAAAATAGTATTTTAAAAAAGTTTACACCTTAAAATACACTTAAAATCATGACGGCGCATAATTAATCATTTATGGGGCCGTGCTTTAACGTCACGCAGAGTATGGCCCTGATTTCCTTAAATGAATTCTATTTTCGGCGATGATGCGAGTGCAGTCGATGTAAAAATTAATAAATGCGGATGTATAAAACCGAATGCATGTTTTATGCGAGACCCTCGTTTAAAAATACCGAGACGAGTCGCTCCCATTTCTGAGAAGTGCTTTTAGAATATTTAGTAAAGCGTACATATTGAACGTTCATCGAATCTTTAGCGATATTCCTGGCGACGTTGCCGTTGACTTTCAAGTCGAGTTTCGATCGATGCTATCTGGCCGAGCCATGAAAGCGCAAACTCTCTCCAAAAGTAGCGAAGCCTCCCAAGAATCGCCAAGCAGCACTCGGAAACGATTTCCCGAAGACTCATTCAAAGGTCTTTCGATGTAAACGGACGCGGATTCAAATCGAAATCGGTTATTTGAGCGCCGCGTAATCGTAATCCTGACACACATCTTTTTCTTAAAGCCTTCGTGACATTCTATCTCAACAATAATTTACATACTAATTCTCCAACGATTTCACATGATCAATGCTACAGATGTCACAGTTTGCGAACATTTAAATTTTATTTCTGTAAAATTCTATAAGCTTCTCTATTTTCCAGCTAGCCACTCTTCCGCTCAGAAGACTTGAAAGATCTGCATTCGTTTCGTTGCATTTACAATCGCAAGTTTTCGTTGTAAATAATTAGCGAGTGGTAAATTATTTATCACCAGTGGCATGAAAATTACACGTAGTGTAATTCTTATTCCGCCAGCTTCGCAATTCCAACAATTCAGTATAATAATGCCGTATGCCTATAGTGTTTCGGAGCTGTTGTATTTTTCTTTCGATTACGTCACTGGCAATCTCTCCTAATATATGTATATCTCAATTGATTATTAACATCCAACCAGAGAGTGAATCGTTAAAATCGTTATTTATTGAACGCTCTGGGACTTAGTCCCCTAAAGCGTAACGACAACGTAACGGATTATGACAATTTATCACAACTAGTATACGTACACCCACAGAAAAAATTTCCGGCACGTAAGATTTACGGAATACAATAATTACAAAAATATAATAAATAGTTTGAGAAAGATCAATGAGAAAAACCAAGTTTAAGATAGCAATACGTAACATGATACAGTAAAGGATATGAAATAGAAAGACAGACATTAAAGCGGTAGAACGCAAGGTACAAGGTGCAGAGAGAAGGAGAGGGGGAGAGATGTCTAACATAAAAATGCACCGATATCTTTTTCCAAGGCTGCAGTTTCAGCCTGACCCATTTGCGCTCGTTCAAGGGCTAGAAACCACTTGGAGAACTTGCGCGCGATAAACGTCGACTCGCTCGGGAGAAATTCTCGATTCGAGAGAAACGCGCTCGATTCCATGGATACGACCGCGGCTCCTAATTCCTCCGGGCAGAGCAGATAGAGGTGGATAGCTTGATACAGGAGGCGATTCCAATTCCAACGGTTAGCGCCTGTCCGTAGAATCGCTACCGAAGGCGTAGTCCTGAATGTTTAAAGGGAGGTGCCGCAATGTAGCCCTTATTCGTGATGCATTCCCACGGCGGCCGTAACCGGACCTTGGCGAAAAAGGCCGCCAACGTGGCCGCCCGCTTACGATGGGCGCGGACCGCCCGTCGCGATGTCTCATAGATTTATTTCATCCGCTATTCCGAGTTTGGACAAATGTGCGAAAGAAGTTACGATTTTTTCTTAAATTGTAACTACGATGAAAAGTACTTTAATTGTAAAGGAAACGGCAATGAGTTTTGCCGAGAGTTAATATTAAGTTAAGGTTAAAGTGTAAGATTGAATAAAGCGCTGCTGACTTTTCTGTGTCGAAGAGAATTTTGAATATCGTGATAGAGTGTGAAAATTTTGCAATTAATCTTTCGTGAATGTTTTCACGAACTATTGAAAGTCGTTAACATATCCATTTAGGTTAATCGAACGTTGCTACAAGAGCTTATTGGATAGTAAATGTTTATCACTTTAATCTTTACGATCAATCTGTGCGATTGTTCCCTTCATCGGAAGGAAATGAAGTGCACGACTTGATCGATTTCTTAATTTATCAGAGAGTAAATTTCGCGTTGACCTAATTAACGAGTATAAATGAAAAACGAAAGACGGCCGTTTCGGACGGAGAGAAACTTGGATTCGCGATTCCGCAATTAAATCTCTCGCTCGGATTCTCAATATTTTCGTCTTCTTTCTCACCCAAGTCACCCTCTTGCTTCTAAGACTTCCTGAAATAATGCAAAGCACCTCTTTCAGACGCGGCACCCTCGTGGCGCGCCTTGAGATCTTAATCTTCTTCAAACTTACGGATCTGCTCGCGCGGTTTGTTGCCGCTTTAAGATTACACGAGAGAGTGCCGAAACGGTGTCTCCCTGGTCGGATTACGGCACGTTTGTTCCCGGGTGCTCTCTCGGGGATGAAATCGTTTCCCTTCCGCCGCGCGAGGAGATGCGTATCCCGCATAGAAATTAAAGCGCGCGATAACGCGGACTCTAAATCGCAATTAATTAAATCATTAGCCACCCGCGTTTCTTTTATCACCGCGGTAACTGCCCCGGGGACGTTCGAATATCTGATGGCCTTTAAAAATTAATAAAGAGAGACGGAGATTAAAGAAGAGAAAACGGAAAGTGGAAAGGTACTTTACTATATTGTGGAATTATAGTCATCTCCAAAGTAAAAATAATAAATTTTTCGTACAGGAGAAAATGGCAGTAAAAAAAATTGCATGCATAAATAAGTCTGAAAATACAGTAACATATTAATATAACTGATTACAAAATATTCTCGGGCTAACGCGAGAGTTGCCTCATTTGCTATGACGCACAAATAATCGGAGCACAATTAACATGTACTTGTCTTTCTGTTTCAGGTAAGAAGCCGTCGCTGCCATTCTCATATCGAGACAAATTCAAAATAGGTAAGATCAATTCGACAGATTGTACCCGAGTAAAAACATTGTTAGGGCTAATTCAGGCAGTTGAAGGCCCCGATGACGATGATAGCAGGACTCCTTAAAAAGGGATACCCTACTATTGTCACATCGGGACCTTATTAAATATTGTTAAGGATGCCGTAGTTTCACGAATTCAGGGATGCTCTACTATTATCACATCGGGCCATATTGATATTATTAAGGTTGCCCTAGTTTCACGAATTCCCTCATAATAGGGTTTGGTAAACGTCAGCCTGAGTAATACCACTCGCTGCCGCGACGTGGCGACCGCGCGTTAGGCTTTCTCGTAAGTAAAAATCATCCCGCATTAGTGTAAAAGGCGAGCCTATTGTCATCCGGTAGCGAGTTGTCTGGATCATTAAATATTGTTAAGGATGTCCTAGTTTAACGAATTCAGAGATACTCTACTATTATCACATCGGGGCCATATTGATATTATTAAGGATGCCCTAGTTTCACGAATTCAGGGATGCACTACTATTATCACATCGGGCTATATTGATATTATTAAGGTTGTCCTAGTTTCACGAATTCCCTCATAAGAGGATTTAGTAAACGTTAGCCTGAATAGTACCACTCGCCGCCGCGACGTGGCGACCGCGCGTTAGGCTTTCTCGTAAGTAAAAATCGTCCCGCGTTGTAAAAGGCGAACTGATTATGACCCAGTAGCGAGTTGTCTGGATTATGGATACACTCAACGACCTGAATATACTTTTGATGACTATATAATTTAACACAATTTAAAAATTAGTTTAAAAAATCAGTTTTTTTAATTTCTGCTCGAGAAGCCTTAATTAAGGAAAAGGATTAATATTAAAAAATGCCTGATTATGGGTTTTCTTATGAGGTCCTGATAATATTTCTTTACAAGGTTCTCATGAATTATTTGTTACAAACTTTTCAGGGTCCCGATTATTTATACGATATTATGACCCGATTAATATTAAGGAAAATTGATCAGGACCTTTTCACAGTTTTATTAATTTTTTACTTTGGTAGTGCCCTTGTATCTCGCGTTCGCTAGATTCTTCTAGGAATCATCCACGAGCAACGCCTCGAGCGTGTTTGACATGTTTCCTTTAAGGTGCCCAGGACTACCGTCCTGACGCGAGCAGACGGATTCGGCGTCCCTAGCCTAATTACAGGGCAGCTCTCCGAGCACCTGCGCCTCTTCTCTTGTTTCGTTTTCGTGCTTTCGCAACGGACACCCGTGAGTCCAACACGGATATGTGAGAAACGCGATCCAAACTTGCCCGACCAACCTCCTTGTCCGGCCAACATTGTCCTTATGGCTACGGAGCCTCGAGGCATCAAAATTACTTACGGCCTCCATTATGTTAACTACTGTAAAATGGGAGTAAAATGTAATAGTAGAAGCGACGTCGCACCACAGTCAAGATTGCAGCGTAACGTAATACGTTAAAAATCTATTTCCCGCTTTGATATTCAAAATGAGAAAGAAACGTAATTTAGGCAAGTCTCGAGAAATTAAAATCGTTTTATAGTTGTAACAAATAACTGTAAAAATGTAAATGGAGAGGAAACAAAATTGAATTTATATCTTTGGTAAATAATCATTCTTGTTCTAGTTTCTTTTAATATTAACTAAACGCAGAAACATAAAAAACAAGAAACAGATAAAACAGATAAATTATCTTGTGTCGTTTATGAATACCAAAGGATTTGGCTTTTCTGAATACACAGTAAGACGGTGCTACTCCGCAGAATTCAATCACGTATCCTGAAGGATTTCACGAGGTAAACCAAAGATTCCAGATGGAATTTCTAATTTAATTTCACGAGAACAAAATAATTGCAAATATAGTTTTTACGACTAGTAACAATTTAAAAAACGAACGAATTTTAAATCGCCGAAACTACATTTAATTTGATATGCATACACAATTTCCGAATATGAAAGCCGTACAAGATTTATAAATGTTTGACCTAAAATCACGAATATCAAAATGTCCAGAATGTTAACTTTTCCAGGCCAGAATTTTTGAACCTTTAAATTTAAGAGTTAAAAATTTTATTCACTAAAAACGTAAATATTGGAAAAATTTTTTAATTCGAGAATTTAAAAATTGAAAGATTTTCAAGAGTTACACAGCCGCGTTTCGCTATTTCTGTATAAAAGCAGTCTGATAGAAACGATGACGAAATACTCAATATGAATGATATAAAACTGCGCTTTCGAATTGAATGAGCTCTCGGTTGGTTACTTGAGACTTAGATTACTTCAAACCCACGCAATTTTTCGATACACGTATAGAAAGACTGTGCGATTACAACGTACCGTGATACGGAATGTAATAGAATCGGGAACTGACATAACACCTGCGACAAAAGCCCGCCGAACGAATGAAAATTACCTTCGAAGGATAAAGGAAACTGCTGGAAACGCGAACGTACGTTCTCGAATTTCTCCAATTACGATTAATCGAAAGATTTTTTGCATCTTGAAAAACTTATTATTACTTTGTCGTAACAACGCACCATGCATCATTATTCCTTGTATTTAATCGATACCGTTCGACCGATGTATCAATTTACAAGAACGTGATTTCGTATTTCTAATTTCACCCAACTTTGTTTAACATCGAATTCCGGACGTTAAAAAATGTTCGCTCCTTTTTCAATTTTCAAATAAGTACAGCAGGTAGTCTCCGGGCGCGTCGAATTTCTCGTGACGCCGCGATGTCGAGGCGTCCGAAGGATGCGACACGGCGGAGCGGGACGGGACGAAAGTGGAAAAATGCGCCCGTTCTTTAATTAACTCGCGGCCTGCGCCATTGAGCTGGCCGACTTTATGAGTCGGCGCCGTGGAAACACGTGCTACGTTTATTAGCACGATGGTGCTTTGACCCGCGTCTCGGTAGCGCAAGAGCGGCATAGAGGACGCCGATCATGCAGGAAACTCTATGCGGAAGATTTAATATATTGCCTTTGATATATTTCCACGTCGGGCATTGAAGAAAATTTCTTTTGAGCCGGCGTCAACAAAACGGGGAGAACTTCTCGACATTGTAGAGCGAAACACGAATGTATTTTACACGGACCACCCTTTGCGCGGAGGGAATGTATCGATAGAAATAGATCGATGCAAAATGTGTAAAGATTTGAAATTTAACTGCGATATCATTTATTCGAGACGCAGACGTAAAGCGCTGCTAAATTTAAATGCCAACAAATCGAGCGCGCATTAGCATGCTTTCAAGTATTACAAAAATCCCGGAGAATTTTGAAAAAAAATTTCGCGCTCTCTCGTCCCTCCGCGGCTCGGATTCCCCCGTCGACGAGAATCTATTTGTCGTCCGGCGAGAAAGCGAGGCGCATTAGTAATGACGAGGAAATTAAATGTAACGAACTCGGGGTGCGCCGCGGACTCGCGCGATGAAAGAATTACGAATCGCTCTCGGCGCTCGATTCGCCGGGAAGTATCGAATCAACCTGGCGCGTCATCCCGGGGATAGACGCGAGAGATAGGATATCACACACACACACACACACACATGCACGCATACACACGTGCACGTGCGCGCGCGCGCGGAAACGCAGTGTCGCGTTTCAATATTTACGGGCTGAAATATTCACGAAATCACACCGAGGGCGGCGGAATGCGAGGGAATGACTTGCTGGACGCGCGAGCGCGCGTTCAATTCGGATGACGCGTCGCGTCGCGTCGCGTCGCTCGCGCGGCCTCGTTCGCACGAAAATTATATACATCAAGAGATGTTGGCGTCGTGAATATTTGATCGGCCGTTACCGTTGCGCGCGCGCGCCATCAATTATTCCGCCGCGGCGCTTTTTCGTAGGCGGCCGCGCGCGATAACGCGTGTCCCCGCCGTGACAGATGTCCATTACCGGCGCGAGCGCGGCGATTTCCAGGGACGATAATTGAACCGCGAGTCGGCCGGGAGCTTGGGCACCTGAGCGAGCCGCGGCGTGTTCGCGCCGCGATGAAGGATCGTTTTCTTCCAGCGCGCCCGCAGAACGAGAATCATTAATGACCCCCGCTGTTGTTCTCTCCCCGCGCGCGCACCGACCGGCGTCTCCTTGCATAGAGATGGGACGCGAGTTCGGTAACAACAGGGACCGTTAATGATTTAGCGTACGAAATATCGTGTTGCAACTCGGTGTTGCAGCTTCGTTTTCAATTCTCCAGAAATGGTGGTGGTTTTCATCCGCGGACTACACCTCCCCGGAGATGCAAGCGATATATTTATTATAAGAATAGGCTAAAGTGACTTGGAGGTACTCCGGAAGCTATCCTGGAGAGGGAGGTTCTAATGAAAGCCCTGCTTTCGAAAGAGGAGCGTGCGCGCGCGCGCTAGAGAGAGAGAGAGAGAGAGAGAGAGAGAGAGAGAGAGAGAGAGAGAGAGAGAGAGAGAGAGAGGGAGAGTGTGTCGTTAAAAGTTATCGCGGATGACGAAGTGGCTCGAAGGCACAAAGTAAAAAGATACACGTTATTACACGAGCTAGACGTAGGCTGTTGTCGTCCGGCTGTTATTTCCGAAACAAAATAACAGTTGGAAACAAAATAACAGTTTCCAGCGCGAAGATCGCGGCCTCTCGCCTTCTCGCGACTGCGTTAATTAGCGAACTTTATGAATGCGCCAGCGCATATTAATCCCGTCATTTCCATACGTCGCCGGCGGAGCCGATTCACGTCGGCGTCGTGTAACAGCATTATGAGCGTATTCCATTATTTATAATGTAATCGGGGCCGCGCTTTTGTAGTCTGGCGCGTTACGTAATTAGCACGGGAATTATCGGCGGCGCGATGGCGACGGCGGTGACCGACATTTCGGCGAAGCCAATTTCAGCCGCGGGCGAAATTGTTGCGAGCAGAATTCGCTATAAAAATACACTTGGACGCGGTACGCAGAGCATTTAATTAGCCTTTAATTCCTCGCGCGAGATGCGCCTATTTGCTCGCGTTACAAATTTCATCGCTTCCT